TTAGGTGTCCATTTACTTGTGACCACTCAGTGTATATATAAAAACAAGAATAATAAGAACTCAAAACTAAAGTGGAAATATAAAACATTCTGTAATATATATAATAAAAAGGAAATAGTATATATATATATAAAAGAGTGGAAGCACTTAATTCAAGAGACCAAAACATACAAAGATAGGAATTCAAATAAAAAACTTTTTTTTAAACTTAAAAAAATGTGAAGAGTCGTATAACTATAGAGATGATAGAATAGGTTAAATACTGTGATTAATTCTTGCAGGTATACAGATTAATAATGATAATCCTGAAAGGAACCAAAGATAAATTGTAGATTAAATAAGTTTTGTTAGAAGAGTTCAGAGGTCAACAATACTGTGATCAAGATTGATGCCTAATGGCATCACAGTTTTCAAAGTTACTATCCAACAAGTGTCCTTAATTTCACTGTCTCATTTTGATGCAAATTCAATGTCTATATCTATGAGTTTAATGTATTAAAGGGAGTGGTGAGGCCTGTTAAAGCATTTAACTACAAGAAGTTCTTTATTCCCGATGATGGAATGTTTGTGATTATTAAAATGTTCTTATATGGTTGTGCTAGTTTGTCAAAGATATTGTAAGCTGCATTTTTGACACTGAATTAGATACACAGTGGTGCAAGTTATAGGTTTTGTGATTTTATACAGTTTTGGTTATCTTTATCAGTGAGCTGGTCAGTTTGTTGCATTAACTTGCAAATTTGGCAGTGCTTGCTATTACAGGGATAATGTTAAAGCTGACCTTAGCATGAACAAAGTGGGATTTTAAAATTTTATATTTCTTCAAACAGCAGGAGTATCAGCAAAAATTTAATTTAGTCAGTCATTAAGTTGAAGGAAGTAAAAATTGTTTCTTCAGAATCTGGGATAGAATTTTCAATTTTATGTGATAGGTGATTACCAGTAGAAGATGGGAGGAGCTTTTTTATCTGGTGATTATTTCAAGGCATCGTTACATGAGATATAAATAGCTTTGACAGTTTGTTTGGTCACAGTGTTGTGAGTATAACATCTTTTTGGTTAAAAAATCAGTGTGAATGTCATAGTTCTTACCATCAGAGCATATTATCTTGAACCTAGGGCTTAGCTAAATGTAATACTATGTTTGGCCTGTGGAGGGTGGCAACTTTTATAATGCAGGAATTGTATCTTATTGGTTGACTTTTGGTACAGCTCAGTGTGCAGACAACCAATTTTTATTATTTTAATTACATGTAGCACTTTCATGTGTATTTATTTTTTGACACTTATTACACCAAACTCTTTTAACATGTACTCATCTTGCTCCTGAAGAAGAATATTCAATTTCTTTCTAGAATGACTTCAAATGTAACATGAAACTACATCCGTTTATCCTTAAGTAGCTTTAAACTCATAACATTATACATCTACTTATCATTAAATGTTATTGTTTTATTGCCCTTTGAACAATGTCTAACTACTATTTGCACCATTATAAATTGTAAGTCACTTGGGGAATGTGAAGTTCACATTGTGCTATCGATTAAATTACCCACGAGCTACTCTGAGCTGCTCGCCTGCATGCCTCGGGAAATATTTTTATTAAATTATTATTATTGCTCATTTTACCTAATATAACCTTAACTAACCTAAAGAGATCCCTATTTTTACCTTTTTGTTACTTTTATAATAATAGATAAAGAATATACATGAAAAACAAGAAATAAAGTACTTACCCGAGTATATTTTTTTTTTGCTATCAAACACTGATGACACTGAACCCTACTGTTTTTATACTAATGGTACTAGTGCATTAAATAATTTTTATTTAATTGAATAATACACCAAAGAACATAGAATAGTAACATACAAAAAGCAAAAATTTCCTCTAAAAATCACACTTTTCCTAGCTGTGCAACAAGAGACATTACAAATTCATCCAAGCTAGTCATTACCTTTCCCAAGGAAGTGAAGCCTGTACTACAAGTGAAAATGATGATTATCTGTTCAGAACACAATGTAATAAAACACATCATTTGATAGATGAAAACCTTGACTTTCTGTTGGTTATAGGTAATATATAATTAAACATAAGAGAAAACTAATAACAAGTTCTGAAAGAGAAGATGTGGCAGGAGAGGTCGGATTTTTTATTTGATAGCTCTGTAACCAAACATGAGCAATGACTATTACTAAAGGGGTGGTGGCTAAAATAGAGAACAGAAAATACCTAGAGAAAATGTGTCATGTGTGTCACACTAGGTGAAATTCAGGATGTTTTTAAATATTGCCTTATAGAATTAAGAATGTAAAACTTGTATACCATTAAAATATGGATTATTAGCTAAGATTTTATGCTATACTAATTAGTATAACATAAACAAAAAGTAGTTTAATAAAATTTTGAATGTAAGACACTAAATCCTTGTGTTATTGCACAAAAAGAATACCTGTGGCAATTGGGTTAATGGTAGCCTCCATTGCACCTTTTTAATTCATTAACTTTTTATTTACATCACTTGTAATTTGTTTAATTATTTTCACAGTCCTCTCAACCTTTTTTTATACGTGTGTCAGTTGTCCCAATATTCTCTCACTTTGTATTTATATCGTTTGTTTTATCCTTCACATACCCTTAATTTATTTCACTTGACCTGTTCTTCATACATATTATGTATTTCACTTCTT